AAAACTTACATAAAACTTGAACATATTCATCTTCGTATATTAAGTTCTTTATTCAAATTCATCTGTGGCTTTATTGGACGTCTAGCACTTTTTGCTTCAAATAAAAATGTATGAATTTAGAAAACTTGCTTTTTTTATTTGTTGATTTTCAGTGAGTCCTGATCTAGTTTCGTCTTCAGTGGAGAACTTATGACTGCATTAAATATCAGGTGACTTTTAAACGTCTTTTTTCCTTTTGTTTTGACCATATTCAGATAGAATTTCTTCGATATACCTACCAGCTGTAGGTTACTGCTTCTTTGTTACATTTTACTCATATTTTCATTGTTACTGCTACTATTTTGTTGAGGATTAAAGTTTATTTTATTTTAGTTAAGTGCGGAAGTACTAATTGGTTACAATAAATTTGAGTTTGACATCTAAAATGAAAATCATTTTTGGCGGAAGCTGTTGTTGTTCTTTAGTACTGAGCGATTTTCGCGCAGAATTTTTTTTTTCAGTTTTTCTTCTCTTTTTAAAAAAAATGAATTTTTTTTGCTTTTGGTGAAATAATTTTTTTGTAGCGTTAGTTGTCTTTGAAGATGCTTTTATAGAGCTATCGCTGAAAAAAAGTTATAATGCTGTCGTTATTAGAAGACTGTGGCATTTTTCACGCAACAAATTTTTTCCGGATCCCATAGCCGACTGTTCCTAATAGCCGTTAGTTACCAGATGGATTTTTGTCATGATTGTTAGCTGTCTTATCGCTCAATCTATGGTTTATATCCGTTCCGGAAAAGACAGGTGGTCTAAATTATATAGTAACAAAACATTAGATGTTGCTTGTGCAGCTTGCTTTATTTGTACTTTGTAGATTTTAGTATTTGCTTGTAGCTTGGATTTATTCAACGAATTGGGACAGTTTAGCGAATAAATAAATGCTCGTTGCAGTCACCAGGCAATCGATCATCAGCAAAACTGTCTTAACAACTGTAACATTGTATGGAAATAAATAGCGCTGAAGGAGAGGAGTAAAAGCATTGATGGCGTCGTAAAGCATCGGAAACTTTAAACAATAAATAAAAGATAAGATATGGACGATAGCAAATGGGTGTATTTAATGTATTTTGTTTTTTTATCTAGAGGATAACAATGCAAAAAAAATAAAAAAATTTTTTTATTACAGATATCACTACTGTCATTTCCGTTCAAAAAAAAAATTACACCAGATTTCTGTTTACTGCTGAAAAAAAAAAGGCTGTGAGGACTAAAGTGAAACTTTTAGCGGAACGACATTAATTATGGTTGAGATGAAATTTTTTTGCCTCTTTAGATGGCTAGAGAAATGACAAGTACCTCTCGAGTTCGAAATTTTTGATTGTTTAGTTTCATCTAAAGATGATGACAGCTCTTTTCTATTTATTTTTTTTAATATCTTAATACGTTTTTAAACGTGTAGACATTTTTTCAGAAGCATCTTTAATTATCTTATTCAGTCAGTGGTCATTGCTATCCTTCCGTCCATTGTCATTTATTCTTTTCCAACAAGCCTTTGATCGTTTTGCCTCAAAAATTGAAACGATAAGTGTTTTTCGTCTTCGCTTCTCTTCTTATTTCCACCTTGTAACACGCTGACAACTTTTTAGGTGTTAAAGGAAGAAAACAAATGTTGGTAGTAGAATTTTTGGTGGTAAAAAGGATGTTTCATAAAAAGCGCTAAGAAATGATTTTACTTTTTTTTTCGACAAATTCAATAGCTTTTTTTTTCAAACAGCATTTGATATCTGGTTTCTTATCTAGAAAAAAAAAGGCAAATTTTTTATTAGCGTAAGAGTGTTGATATTTTATAAGTGCTATCAAAACAATGCTTAAGCAAACAAACACAACAATTTGTATATGGTGAAACCCGTTATAACAACAGAGGGAACTGAGGGTGTTAAAAATAAACAGTGGTACCACTCGTAAGAGTAATAGTGAAAAAGATCACAACAATTATAATGGTGAACAACAGTTGGAGGGAGAAAAAAAAAACAAAAACAGAAGCAAAAAAAAACTATGGACAGGTTCAAAAGTCGTAAAGTTGAAGCAAAACTTCACACCTCTTTAGCAGCACTATCAGCACTGCTGCCATCATCACCGTTCCACATACTTTCAAAACAATTTTGGCAGCAACAGCAACAAAAAATGACAACAAAAAAACAGAGGTGAGAGTAAAAAAGTGGACAAACAAGCAAAAATTAGCTATTTTCTTTAGCACAGTTACCGTAAATGAATCTCCTATAGTTTATTTACAAAGCACTGGCCACTTTTTTTCAAAACCAAAAACTGCTCAATTCTCCAAATAGTGACAAAAAAAGAAGCTAAACTTTTTTTTTGTCTGTTTTTGATTATTTCGATGCAAACAAATGATTTAAAATAATTGCGGCAGCTGTTTCGTCCAAACAATTTTAAGTTTTTATGATTTTGCAAAAAAAGAAAAAAAAATTAGTAAAAAATACATTGTTTTTAGTTGATCTCTATGAAGAAATTAAGACGGGATTGTTGGTGGAATGAGGAGCAAAATTTGAACATTTCAAAGGCGATAGGGAACAATTTTTATAATTCTTCGGTCACTGCGTCACGAAGTCGTTTTTGATTCGCCCTATACAACGGATGTTGACGAACGTAGTCTATTTGCTGCAAAATAAAAAACTGTACAGGATAAAAAAATTCATCATGAATATATCAATTATGGCAAAGAAAAAAAAAAGGAAAATAAAAAGAGCTTTCTGCTTTAAAATACATTAAAAAGCAATAATAAAAACGGGGAAAAAACTGGTCCACCAAGAAGATAATTGGAGAACAAAAATTTTTTTTATATTATTTGATATTTTACTGTGATTATGTGTACCATATGATTTGGTTATACGAAAACTATTGATGCTGCTGCTTCCGCTAACCATTGAAATGGGTGCAACAGCAACAACAAAAACTCTTCGTTTCAACATCCTTTCTTTTTCTGTATAATCGTCGAAAATAATCAAAAAAAAAAAAAAAATTAAATAAAAAGACCGAAAGTATTAAAAATAATGACCACTATTCTTTTTTCGTAAAGGAACAGCGGTAACTGTTGTTTCGTTACCTCATTTTTGTTTAATCAACTAAGTTTTTGCTAATACAGCCTAATTAATGTTTCAAAAACCTTTTTTAAAGTTGTCAAACATAATTAGCGAAAAAAATTTAGTCAACCAGTACTAATCTAACAACTTGATTCATCATCAGCTGGTCATCAGTGGTCACTCCTGCAGTCGTCGAAAATTCCATTAGTCAAAGGACCAACATTTAACAGTAAAACACAGTATTGAAAATTTTCACAACAACGTCGATGTTTTTTTTACAAAAGATCCAAAAAGTCTCAAACTAGATGAGCAGAAGAGCAACAGAAATAGGGATGGAGAAGCAGGTAAAAACAAGAAAAAAAAATTCTCCTTTAGTTAGAACTGACTCTGTAAGTGTTTGATTGAAAAATTCGAGAAAAGGTGAAAAAACAGCATTGTAAGTGAAGAGTTGAAAGGATAAAAGAAAAAACTGTGAACCTGTTTTACCAATCGTATCAATTCATCGACGTCCACATAATAATTAACAAATTTAGGATGTGATTTGCCGGTTTGTGGATGGATACTTTCACCAATTGATTTAATTTTTGTTCGATTCTCCCAGGTAAAATACTTAATACCACGTAAACGAGCCAAATCCGAATAACAATAAACATCCTCACAATTGTAGCTGTAATCAAATTACAATTGTTTAATAGGTTCACAATGAAGCTACTGGACTGCTTGCTATAAACACACTGTTCAGGCATTATGTAGTTATCATTCATCCAATGACAACAATTTTTTATCAGCCACAATTGCTTTTTTAATAAATTTTATAAAAATCTATTGACAGAACGAATGAAACTATAATAGTAAAAATTTTTCTCTAAAAATTAATTTAAGAAAATTATTGAAAATTTAATACTCATCTGAAAATAAATATTTAAAGAATTGAAAAAAAGCTGATTAAAAGACTTATAAAAACAAAAACCAAAAATTTCAAAATTTTTTCCTAATTTAAGATAAGAAAAGAACAAATAAATCTAAATATATATAAATTATATATTATATATATTTAATTTATATAGCAAAAATTATACATACATCTCAAACACTGTAGCCCAATCGGGTAGGAACAACAGATGTGTTAAGCCACTTCCGTGCATTGACATTAATATGTCGCTGTTATGTGTGGTTTCCAGTTGATTGATAAAAGGAAATTTTCTAAAAAATGTGAAAAAAAAAAGAAGAGAAACAGAATTTTTTTAATTCTGTAGATTATAAGCTATAAAAAATTCTATTCCCTTTGGTAGAAATATGAACAGTTTTGAAATCCTGATTGAAGCATAAAAACTTACCGATTATAATCGACTTTTTGTACCACCACATTAGGAAGTTCTTGTAATGCGCGTAAAATCTGTAATAGCAACAAACACTTACTTTTAAAACACTATTTGTTGATACTAAAGAAAGAAATAGTACACAGTAAAAATCCAGTAACAATCACTGCAACAGAAGACGCTACTAAGACCCTGAAGATTTTAACAATTTGAAATAAAAAGCTGAAAATGCTGCATTTTGACAAAACTTCGACCCCCATCTGTAACTACAGCCAACAAAAACTGAAGTTTCCAAATGACAGTAAACATCCGGAAGAGTCCAATATCAGTAAAAATACCAGACAAGCAGTAACCATGATAGATTATGGCAATGAGATTACAAGATTAAACTCAAAACGATGAAAAAAAGAAGTTGATCAATGAGGAAAACAATATAGTCTAAAAAATTGCAGCCTAAGATTACTCAGACTAAATCATCTATAACCGTTTACCAGAAATATTGATCAGCAGTATTACGCAACAAACTGCAATTGGCTATCTCAATTGAACTAAAAAGTAAACTAAATTAAGTCCTGGAAAACCATCACCACCGTCACTATAATCGTCATCACTGTCATCACTAATCATCATCAACCTCCACCATCATAATTCTTGGCTGTACGTAAGAAGATTTGTTGGAAAACGAAATAAAATTTTTGCATAACGAAGGATAATAGAAATCTTTTTCTTTCTTTTCCTCCACCAAACAATTAAAGCTATTAAAAACGATATTAATGTGTTTTAAAACAATAATTATTGCTCAACAGGCAACCATCGTCTTCATTATCGTTCTCGTCTGCATCGTCTGCATCATCGTCGTCATCATCATTATAATCATAAACATCAACAACAACAACATCATTTACAGCAGCACCGACAACAACAACATCACCGACACCTGTATGACGGAAAATAATGAGATCGCTAATGCTAAATAGCAAAGTCAGTAAGCAAAAGCAAAAACATTTAAAAAAAATTTGTTGTTGTTATTCCCGAAATTGATACGACGAAATTGAACACAAAATTACAGCTAATCGCAGTTTTAGATCCGCTTAAGCAACGAAACTACTACTTAGTTGGCTTAGCTAGCTAGCAAGCCGATTTCCACTCATCTATGTCTGTTCGACAACTACAACTGACGAGGATTTTTATCCACTACAGTTGTATCAGTGGCAATACAACTGAATGCCGCAATTCAATCATTTTCAAAATTTTCATTTTACTTTTTTTTTCTACTTCGCTTCTCATTTTGATCCTGCAGATGTTTTCTTTGTTGATTTTGTTGTTGTTGTTGTTGTTGTTGCTGCTGCTGCTGTTTCGGTATCGTTATTGTTGCTGTTATTCGCATTTGTACACATACAAATAAATACATACATACATATATAAAAAACAGACATATATATAACGAATGATGATAACTGCTTAATCACCACTGTTTACAGATGATATCACAATTAAACGCTCATTCGGCAATAAGATTTAGAAGTTAGTCAATTTCAAATACTGAAGTATTCCATTATTCAACAATTTGTTTCTCTATCAGAAATGATGAAGATTTTTGTCGTCTAAAGGTCAGGCTTTAGAAATTTAAAAGTAAAGTTGCAGTCAGACAGTTCCAGCAAAATTCTGCAATCACCCTAAATCCATCAGTTCCTGGATCCAGCAGACGTTAAAACCAATTAGAAACAGACACGCTACACATGACCAGTGAACTTCCCTCATTGATTTCGCACCATAAAGTTTTTTTGTCATAAATTGTTGAAACTGTTGTGCTTCATCTTCTGAGGTTCAGCTCCAACAATTGGTGACTACTACGACACATCAAACAGCTTAACATTCCATTCCACACGACAGCTGGCGCCTTCACAAGTTTCAGCCAGTAGTAGCAGTCCCGGTCATAAGATAGGCAAAAGTTCACTGCCTGTTAAGTTTTTTTAAGCACACCTCCAGTAAACCAAACAATTTTTCGGAATCATTAAAGAAAATGAAAATTAAGAACACTCCGTAAAGAAAAAAAGCTTTCTTTTCCACTATGTTTATTATCAGCTGTTTCCGATAATATAGTTCTCTCTTTTATTGTTGCTGTCGTCCGTAACAGAAAAAGATGAAAAAAAAAAAAAACAGAACAATAAGAAAATAAAAGTATAGAAAAAATAGAAAGAAAAAAATAGAAGTCTCAAAACAAAAAGTTTTTGTAAATACTGACACTTTGACACCTCAGCAAAACGTCTTACATCTAACAAAATATCTAGTAATTATTGCAGTTTTTTCTCAGGTTCTGAGAAAAAAGTGTAAAAAAAAAAAGTAGACATTCAATAACTTTGATATTTGGTTACATTTGGTCGAAAATAGTTGTCGTTTAATAAATGAACAAATAAATAAACTGTTATTATTATTATTACTGTTATTGTCATTGTCATTATTATTATTATTATTATTATTATTATTATTATTATATCAATGATATTATAATAACAGTAATACCAATAACTAATACCCTATTATTATTATTATTGTTCCTATTATTATCATTATACTGTTGTTATTGTTATTGTTGTTATTATTGATATTATTATTTTATTTGACGTCAATTTTACTTCTTCTGCTTACTTTTTCGTCACCACTTTGTTCAATTAACAGTCGTACAATAATATTCTTTTTGCTAAACAAACAAAAAAACCACTTCATTCATCTGATTTAATTTTTGGAAAAAAAAATTTTTTTATCTTTTTTTTCCAATTTTTTTCTTCTTTTTGCAGTTTGACAGTGATAAATTGAAAGAATAAAAGAAGACGAAAAACAAAATCTGTTTTTTTTTGACACTTATCGAAAAAGCAAAAGAAGCAAAAAGAAAAAAAAAACAAATTCCACGTTAACGACTAATTTTCAAGAACTTTAATATCTTCCTCCATAGATGAACGATACAATATGGCAAATATTCATCGCAATTTCAACAATATGGTAAGTAACACAAATTTAATTCACATTTTTTTTTTTGAATCTGTTTCAAAATAAAACAACTCAGAAAAGTTTGCTATTCTTTTAACTCTTCTAAAAACTTGAAAACTTTACAAAAACAATGCAACAGCTATAAGATCAAAAAAAATTACCATTTATTTGCTTCAGTAACCCCCTCAGCTCCGCCCCCCCCCCCCCCCCCCCCCCCCCCCCCCCCCCC